CTGTCATTTTTATAATTTTACAAGCTGGGGTTCATGAATGAACTGGAGGGTATTATTTTTGCTTCATCTCAATTAACGGGAAAAAAAATCATTTTAGTTAACAATAACTACAGTGGTGCCCCATTTTCTTTTCTTTTTTCCAGTAGCAGTGCATAACATGAGACAAACAAACAATCAAATTAAGATAACAGAAATATTAGAATATTAACTTAAATGACTTTGAACTCAATGCAGACAATACTCAACATTTTTCAAAGACATTCAATATTTTGTACTCCAAACAGCATACCAGGTCTGCAATTTTATTTACATTTTAGAAATGACAAAGCATCAGATGGCTAATTGCTCAGAAATATTATCATTACATATGGCTTAGCACTCAAACGATTGACAATGATCCATTGAAATCTATATTTCAGCCATGTTGAGCTTTTATGATTCTACCATACAGGGCAGTCAAATGACTTCAGGCCCGTTCACACCACGAACGATAAATATAAAGATAACTATAAAGATATTAGCATATGTTTATTCTCAGCGCATGCTCATCTTCCTCTTTAAATACTCGAGCTTGTGACAGCAGGATTGATTATGATTGGCTGTCAATATTTTTACTGTTCATCAGCTGGAAAAAAATCTTTCTGAAAGTGATTCCAACGAAATCGTTTCTCTGTGTCTTTATCGTTATAGTTGTGGTGTGGACTCTGCTATTCTTTCTCTGCTATTTACAACTATATCTTTAACGTTATCATTATAGTTATCGTCCTTGGTGTGAACGGGCCTTTAGTCTCATTGGGTTTCATATTTCTCCTCCATCATTAACAGATAAACAAGTGCCCAGATTGTTGTGTGTTTATCAAACCGCTAAAACCACTATTCTTTAAAGGGGTCATATGATGCGATTTCAAGTTTTCCTGTGCCTTTGGAGTGTTACAAGCTGTTCATGCATATATAAGATCCATGAAGTCTCAAACCCAAAGAGATAATTCTTTATTAAAGTTAAGACTCGTCCACGCCCTCCTAAAACGCCTCGTTTAAACACGCCCCCACATGTCTACATCATTGTGTGGGAAGATTTGCATAACACCGCCCAAATGTTCACGCAAAGAAAGAAGGCGTAACTTTGATTCTTACTGTAGTATTGTCAATGTCGTGGAGATGCTGTGTGTTTTAAAATCGACGCGTTTCAGAAAGGCGGTGCAGAGAGGAGCAACAATGTGCGGTATGTGGAAAATGTGTTTTTTTAACCTTAAACTGTGTAAACACATTGCATTACACCAAATACACAAAATAATGTTATTTTTAGCATCGGCATATGACCCCTTTAAGTATTTCTTCAACGTGTCTTTAGAAATCAGACACACAAAAAAAAGGAAACGGCTGGAATCCTAAATTGGGTGAATATGATAAAAAAATTAATGCGGTTAAACGTATGCAATTAACCTCATAAATGAACACATTAACATGACTGCCCTCATCTCAACCCTAACAAAGATGACCAACTCTTGTACTACTTCATTAATTTATTAAGCAATTTACAGAAATAATGGCAGAGCAGAACTTGCATTCAATATTATGTCTACCCAAACTATTAATAAACTTTATTTTGATAAATTCTAACTCCTAAACTGTGAATGCATTTGTGCAATTTTGGTCCTCCTTGTAAGTTAACTATTTGTATAACAGTCAACAAAAAGAATGAACTTGAGGATGACTGATATCAAGGTCTTTTATTACTGAAGTAAAAGCTCCTTCACAGAATAAACAGGGATTTTTCTACTCAATAACATAGCAGGAAGTTCTCAATGTCGATAAGGAATGTCAACATCCACATGAATGCTCATGCAAAAACGGTTGATGGTGTTTATCCCTGTTAAGCATTTGCTCCCAACCAATCCTTAGTGCCTAGAGTGACCAATTAAACAATATGCTTTCACCAGGTGCCAAAACACGAGGCGGAGCCGGGAGCAAAGAGTTATAAAAAAATAATTATATCTTGATGACAAATCAAAACGGAAAACGAAACACAGACGGAAACCTAATGTCGACGTGTGACGATGTACAACTTCAGAAGCATTGCACAGCGCATATTGAATTCAAAACGTACAGTCCTTCCACCGCTGCGCAGGTTCAGTATTGAGAATACTCCTTAGTTTGAAGTTTAGTGACGATGCGCTCCAGTTGCCTCTTAGCCTCGCATTGAGGGAAGTTGCTCATTTCGTAGTATCCTGGAGCGATTTTCACCAGCCTGAAGGATGAGAAGATGCGCAGAATGTTTGCTTGGTTTTGTCTTTCTTTGTTGCAGAAGCATTTGCCAACAACGCACAAACAAATTCAATGCATTTGCATGTTTCAGCTTACCATTCGGGTTTGACATCAGTGCAGGTGCGGATGTAGTTCTTGGTGGTCAGCACAAACTCGTTATAGAGAACCCACTCGGGTTTGTGGTCCAGTACGGTGGAAGGGTGCAACTGGACCACCTGGTTGTCCTTCACTGTGAGATAGTGGCCGGTGCGCTCCAGGTGAGCAACCTGATAACACCAGAGAGGCAAATTAACGAATAAATCAACCACAAGCTAACCAAACGCGTACGCGGCCGTTTCTTCAGACGCCATAAGGATGTCGAGATTAACCTGGGCAATCAGTCTCAATAAACGGCCGACTCAAACAGATAGAGCGCCCGGTAATTCGTACACTAAGGTGCAAATTTGTCTCACCGGTAAAGGTTAATGTTGACAAATATTTCAATATTAATGGAGTAATTCCACTAGTCAGGTCACTTGTTTCAGGAACCCCCTCCCGGAGAGCGACTCGATAAAAACGTCATTTATTTTCACTACACTGGACCAAAATTGCCGTGATTACTTGTGTGCGTTTAAACGGTCACACTTTGATAGAAAGCCATGCATTACATTAGCAAGCTCCAGTGATCCTGTTTTCCCGACAAGACACAGTAACGTTTAATTCAGACAGAGGAGAATAAAGGGAGAAATCAAGCTTTGCTTTAAAACTAGATGTATTTTCGTTTAGGATTAAGAAAAATGCAGAGGACTAAGAATTAACTAAAGTGATATGATCACTCTAGGCTGTTTTATTATAATATATTCATGGTCAAAGGGTGTTACTGTCTTGACAACCCTTCAGCTGAGACTGTATTAACAATACAGAATTGCTGATTCTAGTACATTACTAAAAAAAAAAAATTGGTGTAGGATTTTCTTTGAAACCATTTTCACTCAGAAATGGCTAAAAACGAGTGTGTTTAAACTATGGATTCAAAAAATAAAGGTAATCACTAACTTTCCCTCTTTGAAATTTTGAGTATATATCTCAAGACTTTTTTCTTGCAATCCTAAGAAAAAGCCACAAAAGCAAGATATAAAGTCAGAATAGCAAAATAAATTAATTTTTAACAATTTTTTTTTAAAAACAGTCAGAATTGTTAGAGAAAGTCACAAGTACTTTTTTATTTCGTGGCAGAAACAAAAAACTGAATTGTAAGATAAAACACTCTGAATTAAAAGATATCGGACTTTTTTTCTCAGAACTTCAAGAAAAACTTCAAAATTGTGAGATAGTTGCAATTACCTTTTTTTATTTACCTTATTTTAAGTTTTATCTCAAAATTCCGACATATTTTTCTAAGAATTGCAAGAAACAAGTCCAAATTGTGAGATAAAAGGTTGCAATTACCTTTATTTTTATCCCGTGTACAAGTAACAAACTGAATTTTTTTTTTTTTTACTTTTAAAAATACACTCTAATCGTCTGTTTTATTTACAACTTTGACATTTTTATAGTGTATTTAAGTAAATATTTTCATGAAAATGTTATGTAAATTCAAGTGGCGTGCTTCATATATTGAACATTCAGCTGGAACACTACACTGACCAATCAGCATCCAGAACTAGTTTTATATTACTGTCTTCAGGCAAACTCTACACGGTATTATAACTACAGTCAGTGCATATTTATCAAGATCAGTTCAAGTGACCCACAAGGCCACATCCATTTTCTGTTGATATGCCAACACATTATGTTTTAAGCCTCTGGGTTGATGACATTTCCACAGGATGAAAAGAGGAATATTGCAATGGACATTACAATTTACTATAAAGCACATCTCTGTGCACAATAACATTCAGGGAGATCTACAATGGCACGCATTACAGATGTTCAAAACACTCTGAATCAAAACCTCGGCAGGACTAAAGAAGCTTACTGGGTTGTTTTTTGTTCAATAATTGATATTTTTGGCAAACGCACCTGCATGAAGAAGCCTGTGACGAGAGCGCGGCGGATGTTGATGTAATAGTCTCGGCTGGTGAACTCTGTGCTGCGTCGCGGCAGGCTGAAGCGGTCCATGATGCGTGAGAGCTGCTGCCGCACGTTATCAGCCGACATCAGCGAGCGGTAGTTAACGAAGTTATCATAGCACCACTGCACCGACTCGTGGTCTTAAACAGAAGAGTTAGACATTAAAACCAGCTTAAGAGCAACATCCAAGCAGATCTGAACTGACCAGCACATCAAAATCTACAAATTTACAAAACACTAAATATGCAGCTTAATAGCAAAAACTCACTGAAGATTTAAGCTGCTGCTTCAAGGTGAAGTGTGTAATTTCTGCAGAGCTCGTGTCACCAAGAAAAAAAAAGTTTCTAAACAGGTCTCCCAAACTCTTCTCCACTTATCTCCTACTGGAAGACCAAACATATTGCCACACCAATCTCAAGTCGAGTCAATGTTGTCAGGATGTCCAAACTAACAGAACAGTGTTTCACAAGCACCTCAAAACGGTTTATGCTTTCGAAGGAATCATCCTTCAAATGGCTTGCTTGTAGTTGTCCATTGACATTAGCTAGACATTCAAAAAAATTACACACTTCACTTTTTACGTTGACATTAGCTAGACAACACAACATTTTTTAAATTCACAGAAATGTATCCATACAGTGCAACAATGACAGAACTATGCAGAAGTAATTTACTATATTAAGTTACTTTACTGTTAAGTACTAAGAATGCAAGAAATATTGTGATACCGATACCATACCGGCTATAGGCCCATGCTGTTATTTAGCTGGAAGAAATGTATTCCTCAGAGAATCAGCATTGTATAAAGCAATTAAATACCTAACTTTCACTAAACATTGGTAAAAACCTTGCTAAAATGTATTATAAAGACAGTACAGGTCAGGAAAAAAACGAAAACAAACAAACATTCACATTAACCGATTTATTTATTTCTACATGTCTAGTGACATCCTGGAATTTTCAAAGTACATAAAGTTTAGACCATTTTTCTAAAAATAGCAAAAATGCAAAGCTGGCTATGGCTCCGGCTCCATATCAAACTATGGAGCCTATTTATGCAAGTTATTTTTAGTTGTTAAAGAATAATTACTACATTATGTTTAAAATACGCTTTGATATGAATATTACAGTATTCAATTGGTCATTTAATGAAATTTCGTAATTTTCATGACTGCATCCAAACTGGTTGGAATATATTTTCCAAATGCATGTGTGCAAAACTGTGTTAACAGTCACTTAGTGTATAAAAAAATAGTGGAGAAAATTTGCAACCCTAAATGGCCAGCTTAGCATTTTTGCAACGTTTTTCCTAGTTATAACCCAATTCTGCCAAAACGGAATGGATTTAAAAACTAAAGGTTTCCTAAAGACTATGCTAAAGGGTGGGGGATAAAAAAAAAAAAAAACGTGAATGTCAATGCTTTTTTGTCCCTCAAGGTTAACTGTAAACTCTAATTCAATTATGTAATGTAACGCTAATTTAAAGGGTTTATATCCAAGATTACAGATAATACCTATAACTAATCATTAATTTATTTATTTACGTTTGAACGCCATGCCAGCATCAAGGCTATTTTCATGGCGATCTCTGAATAAATTATACAAGGTATACAGTTAACAAAAGGTTATAAAAGACATTTCAGATGTACACTAGACAGAAATTCTAAAACACATTCAGGTGATACATTTTTTAATAAATCAGTCAGACACACCTCTGAATAAAACTGGTGTCTATTTACATTAAAAACAGTACAATCCAATAAAATATGTTTCATAGTCATTTTAACTAATCATTAAAACCTATTGGTTTAGGACTAATAATAATAATAATATTTCAAAAGAAATGTGTTAATCTGTCAGTGTTAATACACAATATGACAGATTAACATATTTCTTTTGAATGGTGCTTTAGAAAAGTCTGTATTGTTAAAAATTGTGATGCCAAAATTTACTTTTTTTGTACTGGCAAATAAAAATGCTTTAACATGAAACTTGTCAGCCTCACATAAACATCAACATCCTCTTCCTGACTGTTAGCATGCTTCATATGAGCACTGACTACTAGATAAAACCAGTGAGGTGCGAGAAAACCCATGGGAGTTTGGGAGAAAACATGGAAGCTGACGTGACGAATGAACTGCACGCAAGTCGCTGTGCCTTTCAGAACAGTTTTAATAGCGCGCTGCCTCGCAGGCAACGATTTTGCTGAAACAAATGACAATTTTTGGCCACCTACAAAAACAACCTGAAATGAGTTGTAATAGATTTAGGCAATTAGGCTAATTAAAAATGGGTGGAGGGAATCATCTCACATGAGCACAAGATGCTAGTGTGTGTGTGTGTGTGTGTGTGTGTGTGTCGTGTATACGTACTTTGTTTGAAGGCGTGGTAGACGTTGAGCAAGGTCAGGTGGTCCCCGTCGATGTGGGCGAACCTCATTTTGGACTCGTCGGCTGCCTTCTTAGCTTCGGTGGGCCGCACAAAGCACTGTGGGACTAAACAAGGTTGGTATGGGCCCCAACATAGCCGCCCATAGGGATGAGTCAAGCGTTCACCCAGACAGGACACAAGGCCTAGTTCTGAGGCTAGAGCATGGCACAGGGTACGCTACACCAAATGGTAGGACGGGGTGGGGGGGAGAGACGCTTCTCTCGGCTTTTGACTTGCCTTTCTGGAAGAGAGGAACTGCGGCTGCGCAGATTGAGTTACACTTGGGGTCTGATATTCTTCTGGGAGTCACTCGATTGATGTTACGTGTGTTCATTTACAAAGCACACCCTCAAAATATTTAGGATTGAATTTAGGATGCATCTGAATTGCACAATTTTAGTGTGTTGAAGGAGATTGGAAAGTCATAATCTGCTTGTTAGGTCATGACGCAAGGAGTGCTGTTTCCGGGTCCAAGCCTCTACTCCTTTTATTTCAAAAGTACAAGTCTCGACAGCTGTTTATGAGCACTAATTATTCAAATGACACATTTAAACCCATTTGCACAAGATAGCGATGTACCATTTCTAGAAAATACGATTTTTAAACTAAAATAATGATTATAAAACGGAGTGTTCCGGTCCTTGATTCTGATTGGCTGAGCCACGTTCGAAGCTGTTGTAAATTACTCTACAAACATACACCTTTGTTTACGTTTGTCTGTTGTTTGGCAACCACTTTGTTGCAACCACAACTGTTTCTGAGGAACTACATTGTTTGGTGGAAGAATACTGTTTTTATTAACATCATTACACTTTATTTGCGCGGTTTTATTTTGTGAAACCTTACTACACGTATGGAATAACTGTTTTATAAAAGCAATAAGCCCCAAGAAGCCGTGGTTTACAGTTAATTTATAACAGCTAAGGGGGTCGTGCCTCCGCTTCGCGTCGTACCTAACAACGCCCCTTAGCTGTTATAAATTCACTGTAAACCACGGCTTCTTGGGGCTTATTGTTTTAATCAACAATGTGCATCAGTGCGTTTTCGCTTTTTTGTAATTGTATTCGATTTATGAAGGTGCTGTATTTTTTTAATGCCATGTCAGCAGCAAGGCAATCTTTATGGCGAAAACAGAATAACAAAAGTCATATAATTAAGAAGATATGAGACATCTAAGGTTAACACTTAGACAAAAAAAAAAAAATCAAATACATTCAGGTGATACTTTTTGAATGCATCAGTTAAACACACCTCTAAAAAAAGTTTTTTTTAATTTACAGCACCTTCATAACGATTTTATTCATAGTCTAATTGTACAATATTGTCGTATTTTGCACAATTGCAATTTGGATCATTTTATATAGTACTGTATAAATAAAAATTCATAATTATTTCATTTATTTCAACAAGTTTGTCAATACAGAGATGCTACATCCATTGCAACTGAAAGGTTTTCTTAGTTGAACTCAAATGCAATCTTTCTGATGTGACTTGAACACACCATTTTAACTATCGAATTAAATTACTGTGATGCATATTTGCCAATCATACATAAATAAAATGGGTACGAAACAGGTCAGATTTCTGCACTCAAACAACAGCATAGTTTATTAGGATTCTTTAAATACTGTATGCAAATATTTTCAAAATGCGTTTACTCAAATTGATTAGAGTCACCTGCAAACTATTACAGTTATTTAATTTAAATACATAAACAGGGTTACATTTTGGCTAGCTGTTGAAACAAGCAATATTCAATTAGCTGAAATGTAGGAGAGCTGGTTACTGTGACTGACAAATATGCATCACATTAAGTTTACAGATTGAAATTCTACATGCAATTCAAAAACATAAATCTTAAATTTAGACCTAAATATTTTTTCAGTGTAATTAGGAATAAGTGCGGTTCAAATGCTTATGAGTTTAGGTTATACTGGACCCGATCTGAAGATTTACTCTGGTCAGGTCAGACTGATGGACAAAGCCTGAACCTCTAAAGCGCTAGTAAGCAATCGTATCCTATGTCCTTCTCTCCCCCACCCCTCTGCATCAGACATTAAATAGCTTCAAGCGCCATTCTGTTTTGGCAGTCTAACAGTGTGACACATTAGGACACTGGACTGTTTGTGAGCACTTCCTTTGAGAGTCGTTCTAGATAATGGCTTCAGCCAAGCAGCTAAAAGCAGATTGTTCGTTTATGCAACCATTATGACTATCTTGGTTGGCAATTTGAAATTATGCATATGTAGACAAAACAGAAGACTAACATTTTTTTCTCTGATAATTGATAATGCGTGAGCTACAAAGAATTAATATTTCATAGTCCATTAGACTACTCTAATAACTCTTAGATCATATGCAGGGGTCGTGTGTACGTGAGCATATACTACCTGATAGCATCGCGGTGATGGACAGGATCTCATTGGAGCAGTTGAAATCGCAGCTGGCGATGACCATCTTGGCCAGCTGGGGGTCGAGAGGGAACTCAGCCATCATGGAGCCCAGCTCCGTCAGGTCACCGTCGTCATTCAGCGCCGCGAGATAGTTCAACAGCTCCAGGGCTCGCATCAGGGTTTCAGGAGCTGACAGAAAAAATATATTATAATACATGAAATTGAAATGTGAAACTAAATAGGAAAATACTACGGGAGCTTTCGGGCATTCAGAGTAAAGGTGTGTAATATTGAGGATTTTGGGGGAAGGGGGGTGGATTTTTGTCGATGACAATAATTAGACAATATTTGTTTAGCAGTGTGTTTAGTGAGTGTTTGTGCTGGTTTAGGCCTGCTGTGGGGCCTGGCCCCCAATTACTACCCTTATTAAAATGTAATTTTATGTCAAATTTTTACATTTAATTAAATTTAATAATTACAAATATTATTACAAAATTAAATAAATTAATAAAATTACAATTGCATAAATGCAATTTATTAATGATACATTTAAAAAAAGTAATACTGAAATAAAACTAACTGCCAGTGAGGGGCAGAAAGTCTTAATGAGTAAGTTATTAGCCGGGTTAAAGTTGCAAATTTAACTTATGCGCAAAACTGGAATATCGCACAAAACATTTGCGAACAAGCACTGTTTCCATCCAACGAGTCAAAGAGAATAAAATCATCACTTCCTGATAAACTGGCACTATACATCACTAAGAAAAGTAGGAGAACCTACTGAATATAATAATTTTCCTATATAATAAATTACTTGCACCTCAGAGCGAGCAGACGAAACACAATGAATGCGGTCATTGCTTTCGGAGGTGGATGCTGCTGTTTGGGAACGCAGTCGTATAACAGTTCTGGGAGGCAATTATACAGAAATACTTTGACAGACTTTGCTCGGGCATTTCCGAATTACCATAACAACATTTCAGATGCTGTGAATGAGATCGGTCCGCTGGTTAGGCAGGTTTTGCCGTCCCATAGTGCAAGTCACATGACTTTTTTGATGAGCTTGGAGGAATTTATTCGCAAAATGCATTTCTATCTCCCATTATTCGCATTAACCCTTTTTCACACAAGTCAAAAACCACCTCAAGCGAGCGTAAAAACTTTT